ACTATATACCGCTAAAAGATTGTGTTCTAAACTGGCCCGTTTTACAGCGGATAAACTTTTTACAGAGACTGTCGCGCGACAACCACCTTAATGAACCATGAAACAGCTATGTAGCAGTTACGTTAATATTAAAGAAAACGAAAACGTTATCGGTATCGGATCATTTAATTATAGATAAAAGTCTTAACTTTGAATACCTAGTGAAAATATTGTCGTTTAGGCAGGTAAGAATCGTAGATGTTTTTAACACTTCAGACATATTCTCGTGGCAAAAAACAAGACATTGCTCTAGGAGAGGTTCCATCTGGAGGAAGGATGCTGATACTGTGATTGGTATGACATTACTGGCCTCCAAAACTGGCCACTCTGATTTTTTAATGATATCTTTTTTAACCCATCGCATCAACCAGTCGAAGATGACGATGTCACAGTGGACTGAGATGTCCATCTCCTCGAGTTTCTGACCTGCAGTCACGTCAGCGAAGTAACACATCTTCTGGATGAGTAGCTTCTGGGGGCATCTAAAGTCCTTTTTCACGTTTTTTGCTTCATCGCACACGTGGATTTCCACTTCGGTTCTGCTTAGAAAAAGATAAATATTTATTTGAAATACTTTATCGTAATGAAGATTAATTTTAATAATGGACTGATTTTAAGGTAATCATTCCTGATAACGCTTCCATTGGTTTTCAGGCGAAAAATAACGTGTAGGAATCGACTCTTATTGTGTGGGAACCTGTTTGCATTAAACGAATTGAGCTCGTTACGTCGCTATATGTACTAAAAAAGACCTCACCAGCGCTTAGCATTACCCAGTTATTTTTCACCTTCGAATAGAGGAGAATAGGAGAAAATCAGCGAAAGCACTATCAACACTGATTACCTATTTTAATTAATTAGGATTTAATTTATTCACTCGAGAGATTTGCGATGGACTTTACTCCTGTCCTTTTCTTTCTCCTTGTGCGTTGAAGAAGTGCCGACTTTTTCGAGATTAGCTGTGAGAGAAGCTGTTCTTTTGGCTTCAGTTGTTGCCACAGGTTTTTTGATAATTGGTTGGGAAACAGTGGGTTTCGGCAGCATATACGGTAGCACTGAGTCCAACAAACCCTCGTGGAGGACATCACTCAGACTTTTCTTCATCAATTTTCCCAGGGGATGCTCCCTGTTGTCACCCTCGTGCTTGTGAGTTTTATTCTTTTTCATTGATGACACACTCTCTGGAGATTTTACACTACTGCCGCTGTTGGAGGTCTGGTCGCTTTTCTTGTTTTTCTCAATATTCGAGTCGTCCTGAGATTGTGGATTAGAATTCATTTGGTTCTCCTCCTGGGAATGAGATGCACATTCAATAGAAAATGAAGATATCATTAACGTACTGCAGAGGAGGTTTACCGGAGGCTTCTGGCTTGTGTCCAGGATCAAGTCCTCGGTGCCGACGTTCTTCTCATTGGGAGAGCGAATATTCAAGTCAATTTTTGCAAGTTCTGTCCAGTTTAACTCCGAATTTGTCGACAAAATCGTTGATAACTCATCGAAACTGTCATTCACTTGATAAGCGGTCCTCATGAACTCGAAGAACATTTGAATCGTCAGTTCCGGATATTTTTCCTCGTTAATTGGAAAGCCATCACCTATTTTTTTCGTGTACATGTCGAATGACCTCGAGAGTCGGCTCTCACTTGATCTGGGGCTTTGCAATGCTGGTAAATCATAATTATGATCATTTAAAATAAATTTTTTTATTAATGATCACTTTTATTGAAAATTTATTGACGCGATAGAAGTAATAATTGAAATTTTAGGAACTCATTTATTTTCCAATAAAAAACGTTTTCTAGCCTTTTATTCCAACGTCAAGAGTTTTAGATGAATCAATATTTAACCAAATGTAAAAATGTGCCGTATCTATTCTTATCAGATTGTTACCGTCTAAACATTATGAGACTCACCATCACTCATTGAAATAGCACTCGATAAAATTGGTTTGGAAATGCTTCTCTTCAGTCTCTCATTGTATATCCTCTCGAATTCCAACCGCTTCAACCTATTCTGATACATTTCAACTTCCTCAAAGACTAAATTCAAAAACTAAAGGATATAAAGCAGCCTAAGATCCCTATCATCTTAGGATTTTTAATTTTTTTGAATTGCTTCTGATGTAACTAATTAAATAAACAAGGGCATATTGAAGAGTACACAAGTAATTTACTTAATATCGGCGTTTCCAAAACTTCCTGAAACGATAGATCAAACAAACTCATTACGAAACTCTGCCACGCATGAGCGTGTGGGTCACGATAATAACATCTGGATCCTGTTTACTAATATTTCGACGAATTCACATGAATTAATTTGAATAAATGCCAGAAGTTGGTTTCATTAAAAAACAAAAGCCGCAGCAATTTGAACTCGAGATCCTGGTATTTTTTAAATTTTTTATTTCATAACATTTTTATATCGAACAGTATTTCCGTCTGTTCCGCACTGCATGCTTTCTTTATATGGTGCCCTTAACGCCTTCTCG